GATGCTGGAGTCAGAATGTTGAACCATGCTAAGGCTAAGCCCTTTAATGTGATGGCAAAGGCTTGACAACGCACAAGATTTTGATATCCATGTAGTTCCATTTCATTTTTATTGGTGTTGAGGTGGTCCGTGGAGTCCTTCATTCCATCGAAGGTCTCTATTTGAGTCATTTTGAACTTAGGTGGAAGAGAAAAATACAGCACATCTGTAGTAAAGAGAGATTCTATTTGTTGGACCAGGGCGTCCATAATCACCAAGGTTTTGTCCCTTACAGCCTCCTTCATGTGACTGAGCTCTTATTGAATTTCCTTGAAACGTTGCTCCCAACACTGTTCCTTTCTCTCCTGATAATATGGGGGAAATTTATTCTTGTGGGTTCCCCTATTTTGACTTTGTACTTCTTCGTTGTCCTCATTCCTATGAGCTACACGATGAGCATTGCTCACTGTTTGGCTACGTTTTTTCTCCTCAATGATGTCTCTTAGGGGGTTGAGATGTTGTTGTTCCCCCTGTGGGGGATCATCCTGGGCTGACAGGGTCCTTTGGAGATGTTGGAGGAGGCTCAACAACTCTAGAGGTGTTGGTTGGCTAGGTGAAGAGTCTCAAGTTCGTTGTTGGGAGGATCGAACTCTGGATTTGGCAAGAAATCACGAGGATTTTTTGGTTGTCTTCAGGTGGTAGCTTTTTCTTGGTTTTGTAATTGAAGGGGATTCATCTGACTTTTTCTCATGTTGCACGTAGAAACCATAAATTGCTAAAGAAGATAGTAGAAGTTTAACAAGAATAGTCGTTTCCACAGACGACGTCAATTAATGATGAGTCTAGCACTATGAAGCAGAGGTGGGGAATTGGTGAGTACTAAGTAATTCATTGTGAGCATCTAAGCTCTTGAGAATTGGACCAGAGGAATGGGATTAACACACAAAAGGGTTTATAGTTGTTCATCAACTCTGGAGCTCAGCTAATCCACTCTCAGGGGAGTTTTTTACTCCTGGGGAATAAATTGATAAAAATGGGGATTTACACTTGAGTATTAAGTTGGGCTACAATTGCTTGTTGTCTTACTAGGGTTTGTGCCCCTTATTTATAATTGCCCTGAGCTTCGCTTGATCCTTGGCGTGATCTTTGCTCTTCCTTGTAACGGTTGCCACTATCTCACAACGATTGTGGAGAGTGCTGGATGTAGTTGAGATTCTTATGCCTGGATAAGCAGCAGTTGCTACTGAGGTGGTGCCTGGCAGAGGCCAACTGTCTTCTATGTTGCTCTCCTTGAGAGACAGATGCAGGGTGCTCGAGGTCTGAACTCGAGATCCATGGGTAACTAAAGCGAATTAAACTCCCAACCTAGGAGACAACGACTCAAATTACCGAACTCAACCTTGGGCATATTCCAGGTACCATCAATTTCATTATTGATGTAAATTAGCTCTCTCTACCCCCTTCTTATCTTTCTCTCTCTCACTGTTATTCTAGCACATGCCATTATTGATGTCGGCCTCACCCTCTTCACAACCCGGATTAATCACTTTTTTTTTAATTTTGAAAGGTCTGGTCAAACTTTCGTTTAGCTAGGATCTGCCGGCCTCCCACCCCTACCTCCTCCCTCTCATATCTCGTATTAATTGCATAATTTTTATATTCACTGCTTACGTTTGGCAAAAAGGTATTGTATTTCTGTAATAACAATGCTATTGATACATAATTTATTAACTTAATTTTATAATTTAATTTTTTATAACTCTTAGGTTGATTGTAAATTCTATCAAACATTAAAATTTTGTGTTAATCTAATGATAATAATGAAACCACATCATTAGGACAGTAAATTGAGTCAGATTTTTATATCTCAATAGCATTACTCATTTTGTAAGAGCATGAACAATGCTATTCGGATCCAATTTATTAACTTAATTTACTATAACTTTTTGATTGATTGTGAGATATCTCATCAAATATTGAAACATGACATTATTTCAATGGTGACAGTGATACAACATCATTAAATTAGCAAATTAGATCAAATTTTTAGATCTCAATAACATTCTCTTTTTTTAATTTATAATTAATGTGTTCTTAATTTTCTATTTGATCAAACCAATTAATTCTTTTAATTATAATATATTATATGTCCTATATTATAACAGAGTGGATGTCCTTTTCGTCCCAATACTGTTCATAGCAGAGACTTAGACCACTTCGTCCTTTACCTGTTCGAAGCAGAGACCATAACTCTCAAAGTAAGGTGACATAAGAAAATGATGTAATGGGCCACACATTATGGCAAAAGAAAGCTGAGCAAAGCAAAATCTTTATCATCAACATTTAAGAGTAATGAAATTCAGACATAATTTATGAATATAATTTGAGGACATAATGAGTTATAATCGATAATGAATTAATTAATGTTACAATTAAATGCATTTCACTATTATTTTATTGATAATAACACATTACGTTCTCAAAATTATGTCCTTTAATTATGTCTGAGTAGCATTACTGAACATTTTAAACCTGGACCCACACTGTTAGTCCTTTCTTCGTATTCTTTTTCCTACACAAATTCGTCTGAAAACAAACCTTAAAAAAAAAATTGTTGAATTAGAAATCTTGCGAGGAAGACGAGATATTGCATACATCTTTCACCTTTTTTGTGTACTCCAAAGTTCCATCCTCAACAGACAAGCTAAACGCCATCCTCTCTCACCTGTCATTTTTCTCACGCTTTCTCTCGTATTCTCACTAATTTTGAAAAGGTTGGTCACACTTTGGCTTAGGGCCCCTCCATGGAGCCCGCCATGCCACCACCATGTAGCTTATGCAAACCATATACATAGTATGGTTTCCTTTCTCTAATTTATTATGCAAGTGTTTGAACACATAGATATCACAGTCTCTCCTGCTTGTATATATATTGACTTCTTATAATCATATTCATATATATCAAACCATATGAATCATAATAATACGTGCACTCAAACTTTGTATGCCACAGCCCATATGGAAGCCATTTCAGCCTCTGTAGAGCAATCAATCAGACAACATAACGGGGAAAAAGAAATGAAACAGATGGACGAAACGAAAGCCGGTGTTAAAGGACTAGCAGATTCAGGGGTGCTCAAGATACCAGAAGTCTTCGTAAACCCGCCGGAGAAATCATGCAACGCCGACGGTGCTAATCTCCAAGTGCCCGTCATCGATTTTGCAGGCCTTGAAAATAGTGGTGATCGACGAATGAAAATCGTGGAACAAATTCGGGAAGCCTCTGAAAATTGGGGATTCTTTCAAATGATTAACCATGGAATTCCGTTCAACGTTTTGGATGGAATGCTAGAAGGAGTGAGACGGTTCCATGAACAACCTAGTGAGGCCAAGATGGAGCTGTATTCTGTTGCTCCTACGAGAAGTGTGAGATTTTACAACAACGAAAGTTTCCTACAATCTAGAGATTGGAGGGATTCACTAAGCATTCAATTTCTTGATGACACTTTAGTGGATCCAGACATGTTACCCCCAACTTGCAGGTATAGAGTAGTTACTTCCAGAATTTTATTTATTATACTAGAAACATCGGTAAATCATACGTAAAATCATATGCAAAACTGTGTTTAACTAATGTGATGGTTATCTGGTGACAGAGTATATTGAAGGTTTACATTGTTAAATCATATTTAAAGTTGTATGAAAAAATTATATTTAAGAGATGCACGTGATTATCGGGTGATTAAGTGCATCAGAGATTTAAATTGTAAAAAAAGGTCCAAAGGATTGATGGTTAAAGTAATTCCCATTGAGCGGGAAAAAAAAAACAGAACTTCAAACAATTTTGGGGAAGTAGTCCTGTCCCTTTCCTATCCCCCTTTACATATATCCATGGTTGGCTTGATCATTAGCCGAAAGGTCAAGCAATGTAATTGGTGATATCATCAAAATGACTAATGTACGGTCAACGTTTCTTTCTGAAGTATTTTCTTGAACAAAAACAAAGAATTTTTTTAAAAAATAAGTAGATGTTTAGTTAGATAACACTTTATAATGCTTTTTTAATAAATATTTTAGCTATTTTAATTACCAATGTAATCTAAATTAAACTTAAAGTGGTAAAAATAATTACCACAACAATAGTAAAAATACTCATAAAAATACAAACAAAAGTGAAAAATGGAGGTACAGTATCAATTTTTTTATACACTGTAGACTTGTCCTAACAAAAAATGTCCTGAAACAGTAATTGATGTTTATCATATTAGAATAAACTGAAATAAAAGTTTTTAAAAACTTCTCAAAGAGCTATTGGTACTTCGTTAGAATAAGACAACAGAGTATTCAACCTCTCCTCAAAATGTCCACGTCCATACTTGTTCCACAAGATTTTGCTACTACTGCTTGTTAAATAGAATCTTATTTCGTTATTTCCTTTACACGGTTATAATATGATGCATTATATTGTGTTTTCGGGTTACAATTCAAGTTAGGTTCATCCCTGTTTCTCAGTGTACGTGAACTCTGAGGACATACATGGTCTTGAGTCTAGTTTGAATCTTAAAACTACATATGTTCGTTAGCACCTTAAGGTGAGAAAACATAACTGTTTTAACACAGTGATTTTATACTTCTCAGATTTCACAGACCATCTATTTTTAATTTCATACTTTTTTGTGTTATTATGTTTTAATTAATTATTTTCTATTTTATAGTTTGGCCAGTACTCTTATTATTTTTGGTATTTTTGAGCCTGATTTGTTAATAATTATTTATAAAAATAATTATGATATTATGCTAATTTCCTTAACATATCATTCTTTTGCTCCACCCATGTCTTGTACAGGTTTGAAGTAGAAGAGTACATGAAAGGGGTGACAAAATTGAAAGAGATGTTGGCTGAATTGCTATCAGAGGCTCTAAGGCTAAGCAAGAACTATCTTTCAGGCATGGAATACATGAGAAGTGGGTCATTACTGTGTCATTATTATCCAGCTTGCCCCCAACCGGAGATGACTCAAGGCATCATTCCGCATTCAGACATGCCCTTTCTAACTATTCTTCTCCAAGACAATGTTGGTGGCCTCCAAGTTCTTCATCAGAATCAGTGGGTCCATTTGAAACCTTTGCAAGGATCTCTTATAGCCAACATTGGAGATCTTATGCAGGTATATACATGATTTGCATCAATTACTGGTATATCTTTATACATCCCATTTCACTTGCATCCTCATGATATATACTTCTAGAGCATAAAAAAGAAATATAGAAAAATGTTATACAAAAACCTATTTTATGGACGAAGTCTAACTTATCCATTCAAATGACATTGTAGAGCATTCTAAAATGGGAAAACAAGGGAAAATGACACAATATGAGACTTATTAGGGAAAACGTACACCTTTTAAAAACATTTGTAAAAAAATCCACCAACTATAGTTAAAATCCAAAAAAACCTTTTTTGAAGTTAAAGAGTTTCCTTCCCTGACTAAAGAACCTAGATTAATGATAGCCAAGAGATAGCAAATGCTCTGTCTTCTCCACAATTGGCGTTGAAGTTTGCATAATTTGAGGATATAATTTTGAAATTCAAATGGTGTTCACATTATCTACCCCAAAACTCCATTCTCTCATCACTACGACATTACAAAGAAGGGTGTCCAAGAAATACATTATTCTTAAGGTTTTCACTATGAAGAACGCACATCGTTAGCATCGTTGGACTCACTGGGAAGAAAACGAGGGTTTCATTGTGAAGAAAACTAAGGTTTCATTTTGCTGTGAAGAAATTAAAGAATTTCATTGTGAAGAACACACGCAACCACCTATCTTTTTTAACATATATTTTTCATCATGTCCATAACTGATCAATTACTAATAATGGTAGAAAAATTATATACAAGCAATGTGACATTATCACTATTGCTAGTGTTAATGTCGCACTGCAATAGTTATAATGTCTCACTACAATAGTTATATGTCACACTGCATAGTTATAATGTCGCACTGCAATAGTTATAATGCAATAGTTATAATGTCACACTGCATAGTTATAATTGTACACTGCAATAGTACTAATGCTACACTATATGTAAAGTCCACAAAAAAAAAAAATGAATCCCAAGTGATATTGTGGTGAAACTACAAGAAGATGTAATTCAAAATTCAAACGTGTTGTCCCAAAAAAATAGAAAGCTGAATCCCACAATTCAATGCCTAAAAAATCATCTATGATTAATAAAAAAGGGCAATTATATAAATGAAATATTTAGAAAACAGTCAATGTGTATCTACTCACAACACATTCCTAAAAATAATTTATACACAAAAAGAGAATCCGTATGGTATTTGCCCACAGTATATAGATTGGGCTGGCATAAAGTTTCTATCAATTGAGTCATTGATCTGATCGGCATGTAAGACCCGTTAGCCCAATGGGTTAGTGGATAACCTAATCCACCCGTCTTCTCCCAACAAGCTAGCCCATGGAGATTCAAAACTAAAATTTTATTATCAAAATTGTAAAATGAATTTCAATTGTAGTCCATTTGAAGGTCCCCCCCTCCCCCCCCCATCACCACTCTTTCCTTGGGGCGAGCTGCCCGATTTAATCCATTGACAGGCCAATAACTTGGCCCAAGGGAGACCACAAACTGTTGTTTGGTGATCCAATCCTGGTCCAGTGTCGAGCCTTAATTACTATGCACATTCATGATACTTATCATTCTTCTTCATTTTGATGTTATTTGGACCATGCATATAGTTAGTAGAAAGTACATTTTTTGTAAAGCATTATTACATTTGTGTATGGATTATTGATATAGTTTATAATGATGGGAATAGCTTATTACCAATGACAAGTTCAAGAGCGTGGAACATAGAGTACTAGCTGCATCTGTCAAACCGAGAGTATCAGTGGCTTGTTTCTTCTATCAAAGCACTCGAAGTATATCCAGGCCAATTGGACCAATAGAGGAGCTTCAGGGTCCTCCACTGTACAAGAAAGTCCTTTTCACAGATTATGTTGTCCGTTATAGGTCCGACAGAAAAAATTGTCTTGGTACTCTAGCTCATTTCAAGCTGTGATGAAGAGGCGCCACTTTATACAAGGGTGAGACGACCGGTTCAAACTCTAATAAGCTTCTAAGAACTTTTGAATTACAAAACATATGACTTACGTGCAATATCAATAGTTTATATTGGTGTGAAGATATTGGTGTTTACACTTGTGTCTCTTGGCCGTGTTAGGGGCTCTATTGTATTTGATTTTTATTGTTCTATAAAATAATCATACTACCAGCTATGCTTTAAGGTATTGATGAGTGTTGGACACCTAAAAAATAATATTTCTAAAATATTGATTATAATAGAAATGAGAATGTTGAATATTGGTGTTTACACTTGTTTCTCTTGGCCGTGTTAGGGAATCTATTGTATTTGATTTTTATTGTTCTATAAAATAGTCATACTACTAGCTATGCTTTAAGGTATTGATGAGTGTTGGACAACTAAAAAATAATATTTCTAAAATATTGATTATAATAGAAATGAGAATGTTAAGATGGATGTGTGACAAAACTTGTAAGGATATAATTAGGAATAAAAAAATTCTTAAAAAATAAAAGTAACACATACAAGCAATAAAATAAGAGAAATTTAATTTAAGTGGGCCGGACATATTTATAAATTATGGGTAACTTGTACCTGAAAACAAGATGCAATATGAATGGTTTTAATAGAGATGTTAATGTCCGTTGGATAAGTTTATTTAAAATTGTCGATGAACTTATTGAAGTCTGTCATGTTTTATATTATAGATGAAAAATAGTGATGTCTTTGCTATTGACCGTAATTAAAGAGATAGAGGAAGATCAAACATTAATTTTAAATAAAATAGTTAAAAAAAATATATAACAACATAAAAAGTACGACCCTTAATACTGTACAATGACAAAATAAGATTTATATACCCAACCCCCCAAACTATAAAGTTTTGTTGAGTTTGAACGACACTTATCCACGTCATAGAGCAAAAAAAACCAAAATAATCCAATGTAAAATATCGGATAAAAAAAAGGGACCCAAAACCAGCAAATCGAGTATGCAACTCTAATCTATCTCTATATATTCTTACTGAAGATAAAAGAAGGTATAAGAGCATCTCTAATGAGTTTTCTATTCCCATTCAATTCTCTATTAGAAATAATTAACCCTTAAAAATTCTTCTCCAGTGAACTCTTTATTTAGACTATCTAAAATAAAGAGTCCAATTTGACTATTTACGTTTGGAAAGTCAAATTCACTCTCTATTCTATTTTTTTGGAACAAAAAAAAAGATGTATATTTATTTTTTCATCCAAGACATTTAACATAAATGTATCTCATTTAAAATAACGTAGAAAAATAGAAGGAAAGCAAAATTTAATGCCAAAAAGGACAATATAAAATGATAAACTTATAAGAATAAGGAGTAAAACTTCAAATTCTAAAAATTTTAATACAATAAAACTTCTAATTCCAAAAAATTTCATAAACAAAGAACTTTTTATTTGAGTGTCTTTTTGATTGAGCATCCAAATGAAGTTTATTTTATAAAAATATTTTTTTATAAAGTATTTTGAGAAATACTTATTTAAGAAATAATTTTTAAATTTTATTAGTCATCCCAAATGCAAACTTAAATTATTTTCTCTCCTTCTTAAGTTTATTTCTCCCTCTTCTATCTTTGGTCCTCAACACGCAAACCCAAGACAATAAATTAAAAAACGATGAACTAAAACAATAATAATTTAAAATACAATACATACATGTGCCTTGACATGCTCATCTAAGGCCTTCAGTTCATCAAACAAAGTGTACCATCATTCGGATCCTTGCTCTTCAAGAACAATAAAAGAGATGAATACTTTGGACCCCCTACAATCTCAAAGAAGCAGGGGAAAAAGTCAGTACAAGACAACTCCAAACACATATCCAGTGATCAGTGACAACATCAATCACTTGTTACATAAGATTAAGTTCTTCGGCACCAAAAATAAAACGAAAACGAGGCATACAAACAATCAATTATTACATATGCAACTATGGAAAGCACAACGAGGGAGGACAACAAGATCCTAATGCATTATACATAAGAACGGAGTCGGCTAATGATGCGAAAAGATGAAACTTCTGTTAGACCAGTGTCAATTGAATATAATAATTTTACACCAATTAGCTAAACAAATAGCATAAAGTAAAGCCAAAGTCATTTCTAAACATTCTCAAAGCAATTTAATCGGAGAACAGTATTGTTCTCGAGAGATTTCAGTTTTTTATTTACCCTTAATTTGGAAAACTACAACGAATTTCGAGAAAATCTATACTTCAGCAAAAAAAAAAAAATTAATCAAAAAACAGATATCTAATGCTCTCAACTGCACCTGCCTCCACGAAGAAGCAATTCTTTTTTTTCAATTTCTATTTTCTTTTTCCAAAATTTGAGCACAAAACAGGATTCCAAAAACTATCAAGCCAGTCCCCATTTTTTTTTTTTTTTTGCTACAATCACTGATTTGACAAATTGGGAGAACATAAGATACTAAAAAAAAACAACGAAGGTAGTAATATCACTTCTTAGGGATAAACCTATAGAGTGTGTTTGGGTAATGTGATAAGGTAGGTTAACACTAATAAAGAGAGGTTAACAATGTAATGAGACCCACAAATTCTTTGTTTGGAAAAGAAAAATTGAGGCATGATATGAATCTACAGTTCAACCTCGACCCGGTTGGTAGATCACAAAGTAACACTCCTAAATGGTTTAAAATTAACCCAGCTCCTCCCTGGGTTTAAATCCCAACTGACTGAACAAGGCTATGTAATTACTTATCTACCCCTCTCGTTTCTCGACAACGTTACTTCTCTTTCTTCACACTCGTTTCAAGGCTCGGTTGTGAGGCTGTGAAGGCAACGAAGAAAATGCTATTGACGTCTTGGTTGCTAGTCTCTGGTCAGTCTCTCTCTCTCTCTCTCTCTCCCCTTTTCTCTAGATCGAGATGGAAGCAGATTTGGCTCATTATGGAGATCCAGATCTGCTTTGATCTCATGGACGATGGTCATTGTGTGGGTATTGATATGAGCCTTGGTTGTGGTGTTCTGAAAGCTAAGGGCTCTCCATGGGGTGAATATGGTAGAATATTGACTGCTAACGACTTTCTTTCTAGATTTATAGGGAAAACCACTAATTCTGAGCCTTGGCTGTGGTGGTGGAGGCAGATGTGGTTTCAGTTGTGGTGGATTTGGCGAGTGTTGATTTTTCTCACTCTTTCTCTCTTTCTGCGACTGTGGGGTGGTCTATTGAAGACGTTGGTGATTTTGTCGAGTTGGGCCAAAATCTGATTTCTTTTTTTTTTTTTTTTGATTTTGTGGGGTGGTCTATTCCAATTTTGCCTTTTTTTTAATTGTGTAGTTGAGTTGATTATTCAATTTATTAGCATAAGTTTGATGTAATATGATTTTTTGATGAACCTGACAATTGAACTGGTGATCTTGGATGCTTGATCTGTTAGTCTTTTTTCGTTGGTTTAAGCTTTGAAGAAAGATTTGAAAATTCCTTAGTGGATTAGGGAAGGTTAATTATGGTTGTTGATTTGTGGAAGTTCAGGAGTGTTGTACAATTGAGATTGAAAAAAAAAAACCAAAATTTGCTTTGGGTGTAAGAGGAGTGGCGTCTGCAAGTTCCAAAAAGAGTAATGTTCAAGATATTTTGACCCAAAAAAAGAAAGTTTCGAGATAATTTCTTCCATTTTTGATCAATGGTTAATGGGTGAAATAGTCAAAATATATCATATTATTATTTTTAAATCACCTTAGATAATGGATCCCACGGAAAGGTAAAATTGGTTTACAAAACATTGGCATGGAGACATATCCAATACAGATATGAGCTTGGTTGGATTTGGTTTGGATAGGCAATGTTATATTTTTAATATCCTATCCAGTCCACTCCAAGCATGCAAACACACCCATAGGAGTTCTGCTGTCATCTTCCCCAACCGACTGGGGACTAAGCGGAGTCTCTACACTAATCCTTGTTATTTAGCCTTTCCCATTCAGTTCATCCACTCCAACGGGAAAGAAGTAACCTGTATCATTTTGTTTCGACCTTAGTTTGCTCTGAAAATCTCCACTTTCATTACTAGACCTTGTTGTGTAGTCTTATTCTCTTTGCTTCTCATACTCTTGGAACAAACTCAAGCCGTTTTGATTCAAATAATGGCCCAAAGTGTAATCAATCAATTCCAGTCATTCTCTTTGACCGAGGAAGAAGAAAGCATCATTGATTTTGATAGCATGGATATTGCTGATGGAATCAAAGAATGTGCAAAGAGTTTCTACGGGAAAGTCTTAATGGACAAACCGATGAACATTTTAGCCCTAATGGCTTCTGCGTGGGATTGCTAACAACTAAAGATTAGCAAGGTGGAGTCGAATATTTTTTAGTTTTTCTTCCCAGATATGAAAGACATGTGGAAGGTGTTGCGTCAAAGCCCATGGTATTTTATTAACCAATTGCTCATTATACAAGAATGGGCCAAAAACTCCCCGGTGAGCACACTGAATTTTGATAAAGCATTTTTTTGGGTCCAAGTGCAAGGAATTCCTAGTGAATGCTACATAATGGAAATTTCCTTGAAGGCGACAAAGAGTTTCTCAAATTCTGAAGTTGTGGAAATAAGGGAGAGGCTAGGGGGTACTGGTGATCATTTTATGAGACTAAAAGTCAAAGTCTCAATCCAATCCCAATTTTGAAGGGGCATTAAAATGTGAGACTCGGATGGAAGGATATGTTTTGCTACATTTAACTACGAAAGGATTCCTCACCTATGGAAGGATGGTCATACAAGAAGAATTGTGGGGAATTGAAGGAGGACACGGATGCGGGTAATCGACATGAGAGTCAATACAGCCCTTGGCTAAGTGCCATTACCAGAAAATCTGTGTTAATCGAAAGACTTCACCAAAATGACGAGTCTTCGATCAAACCACTACCGGACGTAGGAGATATGGAAGATCCTATACCGCAAGATCTCAGCCTTAGTATCTTCGTGTTGGGCACTAAAAGTAGTGAGTTTGGATACACTAATTGTGCAGCATCTGAAAATTGGGGTGGAATGGAGAATTCTGGGCACCTTCCTCTTCAAACCTCGAATCCAGTGGTAACCATACTTATAGTGCAGAAGATGAGCGCGAATCAGGGGTTTCGAACACAAAGGAGCGGAAAAAAAATTTGTACAGGCCTAGTGGCAACCTGGGCCAGGCCCAATATTATATGTTAACAGACAAAACTAATTTATTTGAGATGAACCTTATTAAAGACTCAACCCAAATCCCCCCCCCCCCCCCCATTGCGAGGCCCATTATGTTAAAAGTCCAACCCCATAAAACACAAATTGACCAAGAAAATGTTCTGTTAAGGCCTCCAAAACCCAACTTCTCTTCTCTAGAACCTTCTTAAAATAGCCAGAAAGGGAAAGAAGTCAGGGCCTCAATTCCTTCTTCAAGGCAGGAGAGTTGGGAAATTTAGGAGGTGCTAATTGGTAAAAAGCGTACCAATAAGGATGACTAAAGTCAACTTAGATCCTTTGGATGTGCTGCTACCCTTTACTCCATCCCTACACAACAAGGAAGCTAGCATTTTGAAGCAAACTTTGTGTCTTTCTTGGGTACTCTTCGAATCACAAGGACTATAGATGTCTTGATCCTACGACTAATAAAGTGTGTCTAACCCGGCATGTAGTGTTTGATGAAATCTATTTTCCAAGTCTTACAAGGACACCCGAGAACACTCGGCCTGCTAGTTTGCAAGCTTCCGGTGAATCCTGCATTATCCCTTCCTCACAATTGTTGCCTTTGCTTTATCTCAAACACAGAATAGATCAGCCCCGTTGACTCCACCTCTACTAGAAAGTCCTCCTCCAGGTAGTTATACTGACTCTCCATATTTTTTGGTTCTAAATTCTACACCTACCATATCTACCTAAGTCTCCAATTCTTCGTTGCCTTCCTCCCAAAGCTGACCCACTGAAGAGGTCGAACCATCACCAATCACTACACCTCCAACTCAATCCAAACCTATCATTCACACCCTTGTTCTTCCCTCTAATCGTATTATCAGTAGGTCTATGAGGCCATGGAGGATGAGTATGAGGCGTTGTTGGCAAATAATACCTGGACTTTGTGTCGGCAAACCTCAATGAAGAATTTAATTAATACCAATTGGGTTTGTAAGGTGAAGCAAAAAGAAGACGGTAGTGTGGATAGGCAAAAGGCAAGGTTGGTGACTAAAGGCTTTGAGCAAGTAAATGGATTGGATTTCATCGAAACCTTCAGTCCCATGATTAAACCTACCACGATGAGGGTAGTTCTAGCTCTTGCGGTCCAGTTTGATTGGGAGATAAGGCAACTTGACAGCTCTAATGCCTTCCTTCTTGGAATTTTAAATGAGAATGTTTATATTGAGCAGCCTTAAGGGTTTGAGAATACGAAACATCCTCACTTTGTTTCCAAACAAAACATAGCACTTTATGGTTTGAAACAAGCTCCTCAAGCTTGGTATAATCATCTCTCAAAGCTTGCTCGGTTTTGGTTTTGTTTCCTTATCAGTGGATATTTCAATCTTTACATATCATAAGTACGATGTTCATTTATACATGCTTATTTATGTGGATGAAATTTTGCTCATAGGAACTCATAGTAGTGTTGTCTCTTCTCTCATTACACACATGTAGCATGAGTTCAAATTAAAGGACCTTGTCCTATTCGAGCACCATGTGTTTCTAGTGGGAAATTATCCTCACACTCTGGTGATCCTATGGAAGATGTCACTGGTTATTGACAATTGGTAGGGGCTCTACAATATTTCACATTGACACGACCTGATATTGCATACACAGTCAATCAACTATTTTAACATCTACATTCTCTTACCGAGAGCCACTTGATCTCATCCAAACAAGTGATTCGTTATTTAAAGGGTAGTGTTGATGACAACCTATACTTTACTCATGGTCTTATTCTACTTCAAGCATATTGTGATTCAGATTAGATTGGAGACCTCAATGATCGACATTCAACTATAGGGTATGGTGTCTTTCTTGGACCCTACTTGATCTCATGGTGTGCCAAAAAACAATAAGTGGTTTCTAGGTCGAGTGTGAAGGTAGAGTATCATGCTTTAGCAATGACGGTTGCTGAATTATACTAGTTGCACATAGTGTTCAAGGATCTTTAGATTCGTCTCTCTTTTTCTCCAACTATTTGTTGTGACAACGTTGGTGCTCTAGCTTTAGCCTCCAATCCTATCTTCCACGCTAGGACTAAGCACATAGAAGTTGATTTCCACTTTATTTGCGAGTAAGGTAGCAAATAGGGATGTTGTTCTTCATTTTATCTCTAATACAGATCAAGTTGCCGATATATTTACTCAGGGTCTATGAAGTCGTTGTTTTCAACTCCTAAAGTCCAAGCTTATGGTGACTCTTCTCTCCATAAGCTTGCGGGGGGACGTTAAACAGTTGCACACCTCAATTGAAGCCTATTCTATAGGATGAGAAAACCACAAACAGATGGGCTCAGTTACAAATTCAAGAAGTTCCAAAATAGAGCTTATCTCTTCAAGTTGATCTAGTTGCTATAGGATTGTATATATCCTGTATTTAAATTTCAAATTCTTGTTATCACAGCTATAAGAGTTCTATATAAACAACAATACATCAATGAGTTGCAACAATTGACAAACCCTTTCCTTCAAAGTTTTTCAGCCAATTTGCTCTAGCTATGTTGGTCAAATCTACCAACTAAGATTATGGGTCAATCTTTGTCAAGGCAAAATTTGAGTTCTTATGTTCCTCTATGTCGGGGTTCTATTGTGCCTCTTTCAGGATTCTCTTCACTCATATGTGGGTGTTTTGTTCTCTATTACGAGCAACAAATAATTAAGCTAATAAATAATAAATATCTTTATAAATTCTAAAAAATGAATATGAAGTATGCCCAATTTAAATGACATCTCATATGTTTTAAGTTTATGTCCATATAATCCACGTCAAGTTCCATGCTAAAAATAAGGGGTGTCCAGGGGTCGGGTTACCCACGGGTCCTGTTATCCAACCTAAAAAAAATAAGCATGAAACGCGACAGGCCTAATAATTGGCCCGCTCGAGCCCAATATTCTTTAAGAAAGGGCATGAGTTTACCCCTAAACCAACTACCCATCCCGAAGCTTGGTCCAATAACCTATCCACAAAAACCCATTAAAACTCGCCTGCCTCGCCCGAACTAATTTTTCTAGAATTTGACAGGATATTGTCAAACTTCGAAAGGTCGGTGATAATTTGAGAGTTAAGTGAGAAGTCTTTTAAATTTTTTCAAACTTAGTCAAATTTTTTCAAAACCAACAGTTGAGCACCACATGGTGTCTGTGACTTTTGTGACTGTCTTGTCTTTCCATTTGTGACTTCTGTGACTTTCTTGACTTTTTGTTTGAGTCAATAGGAGCAAGCTGAGCAGCCATCTTGTTTGAGCCAAAGAGCAAGTTGAGCAGCCGTCTTTGCAGGCTTGTAGCACATGGTTTAAAAAATTTCTTTCTCCAATTTTACAACTAACGGTCATAAATAAACGACTACTTTTTAATGATTAATTTATAAATAAAGCCGATTTCATTTCATTTCAACCCACCACATTTGCCAAAAAAAAAAAACTCTTACTTGCTCTCAACTTTGAACTATCAAGTGTTCTAAAGTCTCAAGACCGAGTTTTCAGCTGTCTCAAAGACTCAAGATTGTCAAGTGCTCTCATTTGGTGAGAAATTTTTTTTTACATAATTTAAGTATTTATTTTATTTTTATTGTTTAATTTACGTAATGACTTCATCTCATTCACAAAATATTTTTTATAACAAAATTCTTGAGTCGAATAATGATAATGAGAACATTGATGAGGGTGAAGGGGATGATCCACTTTCAACGCTTGATATAGATTCTACTAGGAATGTACCATCTAATAAAAGACAAAAGCCCAAGGCCTGAGATCACTTTGAGAAAAATCAAAATTAAGAACTCTAATGGGGTAATTACATCAGAAAAGACCATATGTAATTATTATAAAAAAGATTTTGTTGGAGGCTCTAAAAATGGAATTAGTCACTTAACTAGAAACCTAAAGACATGTTTATTAAAAGGTCAACCTGATATATGAGATGTATGTGTCATATCATCTGAGATGTATGTGTCATATCATAAATTTCATTCGACAAAGTCGTCTCCATGATATTAGTTTTGTAATTGAAAAAATTAGACATATTATTTATCATATAATGGGTTCTAAAAATAGACTTATGACATTTGAAACTATGTGTAAAAAGAATAATTTAAAATGCAAAAAAATATCATAAGATGTACAACATAGGTGGAACTCCACCTATAAAATAATAGATGTGACAATTAAATATAAAACTGTCTTAAATGACTACGTTAGTATAGATACCACTAGTTCATTATCGCGTCTCACCGAAGAGGAATGAGATGACACTGATAAAATGAAAGAGTTTTTGAAACTTTTTTATGAGGCAACTATGACGTTATCTGGTAATTGTTATCCAACTAGAACACTTTCCTATCTTCATATAGTTAATATTAGGGGTATCCAAAGGCTGGGTTACCCACGGGTCTCGTTATCCGGCCTAGGAAAAATAAGCCCGGAACTTGATAGACCTGATAGTTGGTCCGCCCGAGCCCAATATCCTTTATAAAAGGGCTTGGGTTTACCCCTAAACCCTTTACCCGGCCCGAAGCCTAATGCTTGAAGCCCAAGCCCGGCCCAATAACCCAACCACATACCTGGCCCGAAACCTAGCCTAATAACCCACCCTAAAAAACCCATTAAAACCCACTTGCCCAGCCCGAACAAAATTTTTCTGAATTTGATAGTTGAGAGGTAGATGAGAAATTGAGAGTTGGGTGAGAAGTCTGTTAGATTTCTTCAAACTTTGCCAAATGTTTTCAAAACCAACAGCTGAGCACCACATGGGGTCTGTGACTGTCTTATATTTCCGTCTGTGACTTATGTGACTATCTTATCTTTCCGTCTGAGCCACCAAGAGCAAACTGAGCAGTCGTCTTTGCAAACTTGTAGCACATGGTTTAAAAATTTTTCTTTCTCCAATTTTACAACTAATGGTCATAAATAAACGGCTACTTTTAAATGTATAATTTATAAATAAAGTCGATTGCATTTCATTTCAACCCACCACATTTGAAAAAAAAAAAACTCTCATTTG